AACCCTTAGCCTCTCATCAAGGGGAGAATAGTGTGGAGGAGAGGCAAGTTCCACAGGTTTCTCTCCCTTCTATTCCTAACTCCTCTCCATTTCATGTTTTCATGAGGCGCCGTAAGGGACAGCTGAATTCAAAGGATGTCAAGCAACTAGAGACTATACATGTAGCATCATCCGACTCCTTGAAGGCAAATCCAAGTACCCTTGTTCCCCTTGACATTATTGAACCTATTGCTATTGATGATTCTATCAATGATCTTGATGTCCCAATTGCTCATAGGAAGGGTGTTAGATCATGTACTACTAAGCATCGTATTACCCATTTCTTGTCCTATGAAAACATCTCACCCTCATTTCATGCTTTTCTGACTGCCATTGATTGTGTTTCCATTCCTAAAAGTGTTGTAGAAGCCTTATCTGTACCTGAATGGACAGATGCAATGAAGGAAGAAAGTTGTGCTCTACACAAAAACAACACCTGGGAGTTGGTGGATCTTCCTAAAGGCAAGGAGCCAATGGGGTGCAAGTGARTATTCACCATAAAGCACAAAGTAGATGGGTCAGTTGAGAGGTATAAAGACAGGTTAGTTGCAAAAGGATATACACAAGTGTATGGGGTCAATTATGCAAAAACATTTGCCCCAGTTGCTAAAATGAACACTACTCAGATTATGCTATCCTTGGTTGTTAACTTTCATTGGGAACTTCACTAACTAGATATTAAAAATGCTTTCCTGAATGGGGATCTAGAAGAAGTATACATGATTCAACCTCCCGGGTTTGTAGCACAAGGGTGTGAAGGGAAAGTTTGCAAACTAAAAAAGTCTTTATATGGTTTGAAACAATCCCCAAGGGCTTGGTTCAGTAGATTTCACTTGGCTCTTCATTCTAGTAGTGCCAGTCTGACCATACTTTATTTGTTAAAAGGAACCAAAAGAATGTTGTGGCCTTGATTGTGTATGTTAATGACATTATGGTTATAGCGAATTGGGATTCTAAGATTCAAAGAGTTAAAGAATCCCTTGCTGTTTAGTTTGAGGTGAAAGATCTGGGACAGCTACGCTATTTCCTTGAAGTTGCCCGCTCTCAAAAGGGCATCTTCATTTATCAAAGGAAATATATCCTAGATACAAAGGAAAGTTGGGAGCAAAGCATGCAGATTCCCCTATTGATGAAAACTATCATCTTGGTGATTGTACTGGAGAACCAGTGATAGATGCCAAGAAGTTTCAAAGGTTGGTAGGAAGACTTCTCTACCTATCAATTACTCGGCCAGATATAGCTTATGTTGTTGGTGTCCTTAGTCAGTTTATGCATGCACCAACAACCTCCCATTTAGAGGCAACTGGGAGAGTGCTCAGATATCTCAACAAATATCCAGGAGCTGGGTTATTATTCAGGAAATATGGTCATGTGAAAGTGGAGGTCTACACAGTTGCAAATTGGGCCAGAGCAGCTGATGATAGAAAATCAACTAGTGGATATTGTACCTTTGTTGGTGGAAATTTGGTCACTTGGAGGAGCAAAAAACAAATTATAGTGACCAGATCTAGTGCTGAGGCCAAGTATAGGGCCATGGCGCATGGAGTTGATGAAGTGCTTTGGGTAAAGAATTTGATTGGAGACTTGGGCTTCTCTGTTGATGGTCCAATGCCTCTCTACTATGACAACAAGGCTGCTATTAATATTGTAGCCAACCTAGTTCTTCATGATAGGACCAAGCATATTGAAGTTGACAAGCATTTCATAAGGGAAAAACTTGAAAAGGGGGAAGTTTGTACCCCTTACATCAGTTCCAAGGAACAATTAGCTGATGCCTTACAAAGGGTCTTCACCATTTGCAATATAATGAGTTGTGTGACAAGTTGGGCATGATTAACATATATGCTCCAACTTGAGGGGGGAGTGTTGTAACATGTTATGTACTAGCATAGGGGTATTTCTGGCATTTKCTCCTCTATTTGTTATAACTTGTCGCCCCAAGTACAAATACTAACTTAGGTGTCGCCAGCCACATCTCTTTTGAATAAGAACATCTTCTTCTCTTCTCCTCTTCTTCTTCTCTCTTCCTTCTCTCTTTTCTTCTTCTATTTTATTTTTTCTTCTGCTGGACTACAACTACATTTACCTTTCCGTAGTGCAATAGGAAGACCAAGGTCAGAAGGAGGAGGTACAACTGCCACCCAAGGTAGTATTATTTATATGTTCAACATAACATTAGGTAAAAGGACAAAAATGCCATGCTACCTATAATAGTACAAGTAAGTAAGAATAAAGACAAGAAATAAGAAATAAGACTGAAATTATGGGACCACATAAACAAGAAACATCATGTCTGGTCCATTGTATCACTACAGAGTCAAAATTGGAATTTTATGATTTTATGTATTTCTGTATTTTTGGACAGTAGGGGTACTTTGTCATTTTTTCAATTTTCTGTGGAGTCCAATGATAGGGTTTAATTTGTCTAGTTATAGTTTGTTTATGTTTAAAATTTCAGAGTCATTGCATAAGTAGGATTAGAGTTATTGAGTCTTCTTTAAATTGAAATAGGATATGACAGCTTAGTTTGAGTCCTACTAGGATTATTGAGTCTAACAGTTTGACT